TAAATTTCAGAAATGCTTGAAACTTCAATATTTCGAAATTTAAGGACGCTAATTTACTCATAATGGATACACTCCGGTTTACCATGTAGCGGTAGCTTTCGGAAAGGTGAAAAACATATATTTAATACTTGCGCCGGGTATTTAATGTTCGGCTCCGCCCGAACTTAGACTTTCTTACTTGTTTTTTTGGAGAATGTAAAAAATGTCCTGGAGCTGCACCTATCATTAGTAAATTGGAAAAACTATTGACCGAAAATAACGTCGCGGAAGTCACATTCAGTCAATGGATCAGCGCCGATCGGTAATGGGTGAACTTGTAAGTGCATTTGTAACTCAATTTATTGATCACTAATATTTACAGGTGTGATATAGTACAAAAGACGGTTAAGACGGCTCAGCTTTTAGAAGCGCTTGGCAACGATCTACCATCTCTGTTGAAGCACGATTTTTTATCAAAAACCCAAGCCGCTTACTTCGTTGACAAAAAAAGTAGCGTAAGTGACGGTGAATTTGTTGTTACCTTAGATTTTGCGGAAAACTGTACGATTCAAGTGCAAGATGCAATTCAGGCTCATCATTGGTCGAATAGCCATATAACCATTCACCCATACGTAACTTACTACTGCTTCGATGGTAAACAGCATAACTTAAGCCTTGTTATCATATCGGAAAAATTGACCCACGATGCTGGTTCGGTTCACTTATTTAACATAAGACTTGTGAGGTATTTAAAAACAAATTCGGATCCAGAAATCTAAAAAAGATTCTTTACTTCTCTGATGGAGCTGCATCACAATACAAGAATAAATATAATTTGATTAACTTATTTTATCATAAAAAAGATTTCGGAATTGAAGCCGAATGGAATTTCTATGCGACATCCCATGGGAAGGCAGCGTGCGGTGGAGTCGTGGGAGCTGTTAAAAGGCTAGCCCGAAAAGCAAGTATGCAGCGAGTAGCTGCAAATCATATAAATAACGCTAAAATTCTCTTTGAATTGGCGAAAGATGCCTTCAAAACAATAGATTTTGATTTCTGCTCCCAAAAAGATCACGATGAACATGAAAAAAAATATTCCAAGCACATGAATAAGGCAATAGCGATTAAAAAAACGCGGCAATTCCATCTCTTTGAACCCGCAGCCCACAAAAAGATTCGTAGTAAAATTTTTTCAAATGACACATCTTTTTCCGAGAGTATGATAACTCATAGCCATCTCTAAGAACATAATTTAAGTTTGCAAGCATTGAATTATTAAAGTGTATAATTTAAGTTATATTATTTAAATTTTTATAATCAACATTATTATTTCAATAAATTCCTCCAACTATTTTTTATACTGTGTAATATGAGATAAATATTGGAAGATATAGCCATGCGCGGAAAGACCAAGTGCAAAGCGCCCTACGACTAACAAAAAATTCGATATCTTCGGAACGGAGTGGATGAACAAAATTATTTTTACAGATTATGAATGGTAAACGTTTTCCGCGTAATATGACACTAGCTTTATTAATTGACAGCGTGAAGAACGCGAAAAAAATTGCAGTTGTTTATGAAAAACTATGGCAAAATATTATTGTTTAACACTTATATCATATATAAACAAGTAGTATATAGCACACACATTTTTCTATAAGTGTACCAAATTTCATACAAATATCTTCAGTAGTTTACGAGAAATTACAATTATGTATATCTCGCAATTCTCCCAAATTTCAATTGCTAATAAAATAAACAAAAAGCGGAATATGAAAAAAAAATTTATAGCATTAAGTACATGGCGGATTCCCTATCCAAAAATGTATTTATAATTCAAGTCGCGCATTTGATAGAAATTTTTGGGCCCACTTGTGGTGGTTTGACAAAACTATTTTGCGATTTTAGATATTTTCGGGATCCTCGAGACTTATCGATAAAATAATCGGTTTTATTATCGATATTTTTATCGATTTTGTTATCGAAATTTTTATCAATATTGTTATCAATTATGCTACCCATATTTTCGGAACTTATCGATATAATAATCGATATTATTATCGATATAATAATCGATATTATTATCGATTTTTTATTGATATTTGTCGATTATGTTATCGATATTGTTCGATTTTGTTATCGATATTATCGTCTTTGTTATCGATATTTATCGATTTTGTTATCGATATTTATCAGTTATGTTATCAATATTTATCGATTTTGTTATCGACATTTATCGATTTTGTTTTGGTTATCGATACTTATCGACTTAGTTATCGATATTTATCGATTTTGTTATCGATATTTATCGATTTTTTAATCGATTTTGCTACCAATGGTATTATCGATATTGCTTTTGAAATTTTTATCAAATTTTTCATCGATTTTTTTATCGATATTTCTATTGGTTTTGTTATCGATATTTTGTTGAACGTTATTATCGATTTTGTTATCGATAGAGTATAAAGATAAAAATGAAGATAATGGAAAAACAGAATAACATAAATGTAATTAAAACGAATAGGGGTAGAGGTAGAGGGATGTAGGAAGAAAAAAGAGAAAAATATAACCTTAAGCAAAAGCAGATGTGTGTATGTATACATTGGTTATGAGAGAAAATAGATAAGTAATATGTAAGTTTCACTTCTCCAGTGTGGCCCAGGCGCACTTACTTTTTTTTTCTAACCGGGATGTGGTGTTGGCCGCCACAACCAAAGGGTTATATACAACTGTCTACAAGTAACGCGATGAATTGCCAAATGAAATGTGAAATATCATAACTAGGCACTTGGTAAATCACCTGAAATCTTTATCAGATTATTTTTCGGATGGTAGTAGTAATATAGGTTTGGTACAAAATCCATTTACGAAGCATTCATAGATCTCCAGAGTACTTCGACATTGAAACACACATTTGAATCTGTGTCTCTGAAAGAGTTTTGGGTTAGTGTTAAGAGAAAATATCGATATCGAGAAATATCGATGGTCCTCTGCAATAACGGCACAACTTAAAATTTCATGTTTTTGAGCTATATAGCGGATTTTGTTTATAAATAACCATATTTTTCTGTGGCAAATCAACATAGGCGTAGTTGTTACCAATCCGGCAGATGTGCATAACCGAAGTAGCCAACGCTTGCTGCTGAACAGTGGCACATTTTGTCACATTTATCGTGAATATTGCCGTAAGTCAAAAAACTCTCGATAGGTTAGTCAAGCTTTTATGTGAAAGAACGACACTTTTCGTATTGTGACGTTGTTCATTTCATTTTCTCAGTAAGACCCTTTGTAATTTTTGTATGGGAAATGACGACACTTTTCGTTTTGTGGCGTTGTTCAGCAATACAAACTTATTTTTTTCGTTTAACTACTACGAGTTGTTACTTATTTCGTATTTTTTCAGTTTAACCCTTACTAAATCTTTAAAAAAAGTCATAATGAGAAAGCTTACAAATTTTCCCTACAGAATGCAAATAATCCAGAAAAATTACGTTCCAAGATATATTATTGCTAAATTACGAAACAAAATCTTTAATTTGCTCTACGAAAATATATAAAATTTTAATTGTGTCGTTATTGCAGAGTCATGAAGTCGCTAAAAAGGCCATCTTAACATTGCTTCCTTCTGTCACAACGTACTCTGTCAACAGGATTTTCGGCTTACATTAATACAAAAAACAAATTCATGTCGAAATTGGATGCTACCCCAGAAATGCGCATACAGCTTTCAGACATTATATCGAACTACTATTTTATAAAATAATTAATAATAGTGAAACAATTTCATTCTTCACAATAAAATTTAAAGTATGTATACTATGGCCCCTATTACGAGTTGCATTCGATCTTCGACTGTGGTCGAAAGTACTGATCGAACGAATTTTCATTTGGTATTATGGCGCTCATTCGATGAAGAATAGCGCTATTGTGCTCGTGTAGGTTGTTCACAATAGTATATTTTTCACCGCTGAGAAGCTTTGTTTACAAATCGAGCAAACTAAATAGTGTGCTTATACAAATGTACATATGTATATTTGTGCAAATTAAAATGAAATAAAATGAGAGCGAGTTTATAAAATCGTGGTAAAAATTAGTACAACGGAGTTCTGGTTCAACGATTCGTCAGAGGATGAGAAAACTGACCAGGAGCAGAAAATGTTTAAGAGAGTTTAAGTGTAGTCTTTCGAATATATTTTGACATAAAATACATTTAAGAAATTGTGTGATCCAAATCTATTTAAAATATATTAAAACTATAAACATCTCTATGATTTTGTTCTCAGAGATCGTGCCAACAGAGTATTGGGATTTTCTTTCATAAGTAAAACCAGCTTTTCGAGCTTGTGTTTAGTATTCACGGCGTTAGAACTGCATGAAATTAATAAAAAAATTTTAAAATTAGTTTCTAGCCGACAAAATGGAAGAAAACAAAGGCAAAATCATACTTTTTTCACAATTTTCTAACACTTCGCTACACACACGAAAGCAAAATTCTGTTCGACAGAAAATTCGATACTCAATGAAAATTTCGACACGCTTGCATAGCTCATAATACGAATTTCACTTTCGATCTTCGATAGCCAGCAAAGATCGAAAATCGAATACAACTCATAATAAGGGCCTATATCTAATAAAAGTTTTTATTAATATTTAAGCTGCACTGCCTTTTAGTAATTTGATGCGGGGTTCCATGAAATGACAGGAGTTTAGTAAGGGTTCCATCATCTTAAAAGTTTAAGAACCGCTGCTTTGTTGTATTAAACTGTCGAATTCAAATAAAACAGGGCATGAATAAATCGTTTTGTACTTGGTACAAGTCTGGTCATTTTCGAACTAGTTCGGTTTCAGTCAGGAAATTCTAGTTGCCAACTTGTATTTTTCCTGACTAGTTTGGGGTTTCACTGGAGGGTAGTGATACGGCTTAATGTATGTAGATACTTAAGTATGTATGTATGCTAGCCTTGTAATATAATGCTTGTTTAACTTATGTACATACACATGTTTATTTGAAGGGACGAAATCAATTACCAGGAATAATTGCACTATATTATGGAGACCGCTTTATACCCCGACGTTGGTTTTCTGAAAGTCCTAGGAGAAATTTAAAACTTACAACCAAAATTATGGAAAAAGACGTTCTTAAAGTGGTAAGTTCCTATTTATGTAAATATAAAATGAGTTGTGATCTTCATAAAAAAATTCTAATTTAGCGTTTCGCAGCCAACTATTGGAGGCAGAACAGTTTGAAGATTGCTATAAATAAAACTCTGCAGCTGCAAGAGGAACGAATATTGCAGCTCAGTGATCATGTAGATAAATGTGTAGAAAGGAATGCGAAATCTTTCCGCTGTCTCCGTGGATATTCAGATGAATTCGATTGGCGTTGCATTCCTCGTTCGAAGCCGCTGGCTTTTGCTGAAACCGCGCATGATTCACCCGGGTTTGATTCAACTTTCGGTAAAAATCTAATATACATATATTATTTATTTACATTTAACACTGCCACATATTTTTAAACACATTCATACTACCAGGGAATTAGCCAGGTTAATTTTTTTGTCTGTTAAGATATCTTAACGAAACTGGGTATCTGTACATTTCTTGAATGTAGGATGGATGGTGTTGCAAATGGGCGATATCGGACTATAACCAGGTTTACCTCCCATATAACGATACTTTTCAGAAATACAAAAATTGCGATATTTTAGTAACTACTGAAGCTTATTCACTAGCCACACCCTCCTATGTTTACATGTGTATAACTCAGTAACCGCTTCACCAATTTCTCATAACTTGGAACTGTGATCCTGATAAAACATACCAAACGGCTGGAAACTTTTAAAATTAGGCAATAACCACGCCAACATCCCATATAACGGTATTTTAGAGATTTACGAAATCTTCGATAAATCAGTAATTGCTGAAGCGAATGAATTGAAAATTAATATTTGAAATTTTTGAATAATGTGCGTGGCACCACCCATTTATGACCACATATGTGTATCTCTGTAACCGTTTAATGAATTTGTACCAAACTCGGCATGTTTATTGTACTTGATACACAAAATAATGGCGTTGAAAATTTTTGAAATCGGACTAAAATTACGCCCCCTTTTCATATGACGGTAAATTTCAGAAATCTGGAAACTTTGATATTTCGAAATTTGAGGACGCCCAAAGAAAGAGGACGCTCTTAGAAATAAGATTATTGAGGAATTTTAGAAAATGGGCGTGGTACCGCCGACTTATAACAACAAAACTTTATCTCGTGAAGTCTAACTGAACATACTATGTTTGAAATAAGGGTAAAACCACCCTGCTTACTATGTAACGGTAGTTTTCGGAAAAGTGCAAAAACTATCATCCGTATTCTGCAACTCTTTCGTATTCGGATTTTCCTACGAATCGTAGAAATAGTATGCTGCAATCCGAATCGTATTTTCGAACTTTCGAAATTCGTAACAATGCCTAAAAACGAACGAGTAAGCTTTTTTGCGTAATTTTGTACGAAAGTAATTCTGTGTCGGAGACGAGATAAAATATGTAAATCAGTGTGTTTGCAGGAAATATTAGTGGTGTTAGCTTAAACAGATATATTCGCCTTTCGCATATACGTATGTTTTTATCCTCTGCTTTATATAAACAAGCAAAAAATAATCTTTGTTGCCCCTTATCGAGAAACTTGGTTCCAGTTTAGTTATTTGTACAATGATTTTCGGTTGTTGTGTCCAAACGCATAACCCGAACCCAAAAACTTTAACATACATGTGTAATCATTGGATCAAACTTTTATTTAAAATAAATGCTTCAAATTTCCGAACACTAGCTTATTAATAAATTCGGTTTGCCTGTGCACTTTTTTTTGCAAATATCAATGTGGGTTCTTCCCAAAAATACAGTGTATGGCGTAGCCGGTGTGATATGCACAAGAATTGTTCTATAGCTTTGACATGCGGAAGCCCCTGTTCTCCGGCAACAAAGAAAGGAGAATTCCAAAAAGGGTTATAATCGCTAAGCGCGGCTGAAGGCAGAATCAAGCGCAACAGGTGGTGGACCTAAGAAAGTGCATGTTTCCAATCGCTTGGAAGAAGTTGTTATTGCATTAACTGGATTGAGAACCAGTTCTTCAGGCATAGGAGGAGTTCTGGCTTGTGGTTCAACAATTCAACCAGAAGCTGACATAGATGCGCTCATGGTTACTATGCCCGACAGCTCCGCATATCTTTGTGAAATCATTCCCATAGTGCGCTCTTATTTCGCTGCTATAATTGCAAATGCAATAGAATACATCGTTTCCTTAAAAATATGTAAAATCAAACAATTTTACTATAAATAAGCACTTCATGAGTTTTTTTAATTACTTTCCACTTTGTTTTCCTTCATTCAGCTGTCTTCGTAAAACAACTGATAGCTGGCAATGCTGCATATATTTCCGCAAGGGTTGCAGCATGTCGATTTCTCGTTTTTCGTAACGTAGCTACGAATTAGGAATTACGGGAATTCGGGTTCTGGAATAAGTGGCTATATTTATTACAGGCGCCGGCGTTCAGCTTCGCCCGAAAGTACACTCTCTTATTTGTTGATTATTATATCTTCCAGAAATAAACTAACAGGTTACAAAATCTTAAAACCCATACATAAGGATATATTATATGCCGGCACATTGAATATACATAGTATGTTATTTTACCGTTTAATCGGCATCGGCATCGGCAAGTATCGGCATTGGCATCGGCCGATTCTTAGCCGATTCTTTTTTTCCCGCAACATTGTTTAAGTTCAACGAAATTTAAAACTGTTTAATCAGATTTAAAAAAAAATTGTTTGAGTACGCAGTTTTTTAAATATTAGTATAATAATTGCAAGTTTGGAGTAGCTAGGTACATAAGTGCTGATTTTTGACAATTTTTCGTTCACGCATTTTCTTCCAAAAAAAGTATGTTCGAAAAGATTTTTGTATGGAGAAAATCTGCTACACCTTCCACAAAAA